TGTGCCTGAATGGTAAAAGCACATTATAGATTCGATTCCTTCCGGAGAACGCATATTTTCTACGAAATTTATCGTACATTCATACTGGTAAGTGTAATTAATACTGTTTACTTAAATAAATGTATATACATACACATATATATATATAAATATATATATATATATATATATATATATGTGTGTGTGTGTGTGTGTGTGTGTGTAATTCGGAGACAGTACTGTTTCGCTGTACCACAGCGCCTTAGTGCGACTAGACATCCGAATGCCACAAGCTAGGATTGGAACCCAACCGATATGATGTCAGTCAGTTTCTACCACTGAGCTATATTCATTCGGCAGAATGAGCTAGCCAAATCTCGCGCATTGTTTTTACCAATGCCAATCAGCCATAATGATGTACACGAGTCGCCTTCAAATTTGCGTGTCTTTTCGGTTTCCTCCTTTAAACCAGAATATGTGAAAGTTGTAAATTCAATCCCTGTGCCTGTTAATGGTAAAATGTCACGTACACTAGTTCGGTGGAAGTAAAGAACGAACAACACAAAGATTAATAAGGCCAGTGTCTATTAAATTCTATGAAGTCTCCACTAAACATGGAAAGATGAGTGGAAACAATCCACACAAAGTGAATAAAGAGCCAGGTTCAAATTTTGGATGAGATTTTCGAGTACAACAAGAGACACCCGAAAAAGACCCGGGATTATACATAAGCAGATATATTGGAAGCATAGCAACCAAGATAAACATGCTGATTGGAATGATAAAGCATAAAATAACGATAATTGCATGTATATAAATTCCAACTTAAAAATATTTCTAAAACATTTTTCCCGTTAAATTTTAATTCACATTTACTTGGATGCAATATTGTCCTAAATTTGGTGTAATAAACGTTCATTTTTTTTTTTTAATTTTTAAATAATTCTTTATCCTTATTCTATATAATTCTTTTGAATATATGAATCTTAGGCATAAGTGCAATCTATATATTGTCAGAGGAATGTGGTCTATCGAGTTCGCCGATGTGAAATTGTTTTGAACTTCTAAAAAGAAAACAAAACCTTCAAGCAATAATGCATAAAAAAAATATTTCATGCTTTTAACTTATTCTTTTGTCAAAGTGCATCGCTCTTGAGATTAATCTTCGACGAAGCACTTGTAAGCATTTCTCCTCTAAAACCTGTTTCATCTTTTCCCTCTTCCATAACCTGGCGTATTTGATTATTGATTTCACGATTCGTCATATTATAGAAAACAGCACGTGCACGTATGCGCGTTCATTAATGGGAGTGTTCTCCTCTGTTTGAATATAAATATGTTTTGGTTGATAGGAGAAACGTGAATGATGAAGCGAGAAAGAGCTTTCTCATTTTTTTTTTCTCGCCAGTCGAATGACATTCACAAGGATACGTTGATCTGTGTTGACAATTGGAATGTTTGCGGTAAAATCATTGTGAGCTCACTGCGCATGTCTTGTACCTTGTGTTTCCGGTTCATGGACATCTTCCATCTCCGTTTTTCACAATCCTCCAGGTTAATTATCATCCGATGCTTCTTCTTTCTGACAAATCTTCCCTTCAACACGCTACTTCCGTAAGTTTGTTGAAACCATGTTTCGAGCTTTGCCAATCTTAAAAGAAAAAGCTTTTATGCAGCCATTATTTATCATGCTTTCATCTTTACTTTTCTTTCTTTTTTCAAATGGCTTCGTCATTTGCCTCGTTTTGATCAGCTTATTCACGATGACGTCAGTTAGATGCGTACGTAACGGGAAGTGACTAAAGTGGACATTCTACTTAATGGTTCCTCTTAATGTGGATTTTCTTAACTCTTCAGTTCAGTGTTTATCTCATCACTGAAATAAAAATTGACATTCCTCACTTATTTTGGGGCTTAGGAGCTTTGCATTCTTTCCCATCCTCGCATCTCGAGTACATTTTAAGCTTTAGCATTTGTATTAACACTGAACTAAATGTTCTGACTTTTCAACTGAATGTCAGAGGGAAAAGGGTATTGTCAAGGTAATTCTTTAGACGGTAAATCACACTTAAAACGGGGAAATATTACTCACAAATCATTCTCTAGGCATTCTAGAATGTGCATAGAATTAAAGAAGAAATTAGCAAATGTTTATCAATATATAGACAATATTTATTCAACATATTAAACGAGGTAATTCTGACATAATTAGAAGTCCTACCAGGATTCATTATTGGCTGCCACAATCTTAACAATATAAGATGTGCAGATGACATAATATTAGCAGACACAGATGACATAATATTAGCAGACACAGAAAGGAAAATACAAAACCTCCTACAGAATGTGCCAAAGCAAAACGAGAAGAAAGGATTAAGTATAAACTACAAGACAATGCATGGTTACCAGGAAAAGGACGAGACCAAAATGCAAAATACTTGTCCGGAATATTAAAATCAACAGGTAAAAAATTTAAGTATCTTGGTAGTATTCGAACAGAGGGCAGTAAGTGCGACATTGAAATCCGTAGAGGTTCTTGGGATGGCTAAAGAAGCATTTCTAAAGCTAAGCAGAATATTAAGGGACAGAACGTTGGAAAAAATTTAAAAAATATTGAAATGTTATGAGATATCTGACCTCCCGTGTGGCAGCGAATACAGGACAACCTCAAAGATGAAGAAGAAACTTGAAGTAACAGAAATGTGTGGAACATATGAGCAACATCGATGTTTTGGAGAGAATGGAAACAAAAACGAAACTGATACTTAACATCAGGAAGAAGAAGTTGAAATTTCTGGAGCCCGTAATTTCAAAGCAGGACTTTGAAAATCTGATACTCACGGAACAGATTGAAGGAAAGTGGGCCAGCGCATAACATACTTGATGGGCTTGAGTAGGTGGAGATTTAGGAGAGGTGACAAAAAAGGGACAAGAGGGTGTGGAGGGTCATAATAGCTTACGTCCTGAAGAGGCAAGGCACATAAAAGAAGAAGAATATCTATTCTATTGCGTATCCAGTTAATATTTCATTAATACTAGAGCCAAAATATACAAGAAATTAACGTTGGATATTGCCTAAGCCAGGGTTTGTAAACAGGCCACATGAGTTGAATAGATTTGCCTCAATATCAGTATTCGGAATTCTAGAATTTACTAACCACTATTGATGATTAGAAATAAACTACTATTTTAAACAATAAGCAAGCTAAATATAATATCTGTTTATGAATATGTTTGTTCTTACCAGTCCAGTTCTTTTCTTCAGAATTTTTTAATATCCTCCTGAAATTTGAAGATTGTTTTCCTGAATTTTTGCCTTTGACAATATCCCATAAGATTCTTACACTTTTTTCGTATATGCTTGTCTACTAACTCCCATCATATCCTTTGGATAATTATTGATTGACACGGCAAAACTAAAAAAAAGGCTATATTCTGGGTGGCGGTTAATCATGATATTATTCGTTCCTAATTCGCCTGATATATCCAATTTTCAATGTTGATAACTGTATTATCAATAAATTATATTTTAGGTGACGAACACGAAGCGAAAGACAAGAATTTAATATATCTATTTTTTTTCAGAGTTGAAACTATATTGTGAATAAATGACTTTTAAGTGTCGAACAAACACGATACGAAGAATTTTAACGCTCACGTATAATCGATTGATGGACACCGTTATTTTAACTATTGAATTTTTCCCAAACGACACATTAGAGTAGTGAATAATAAGGGTTGAATAAGCTTGAGAGATTTCTCTCTGATTTCCTTAGCATTGCGCAAAATTTGGTACTGAGTAAAAGACAAAAAAAAATGAAACACAAGACAACGGCTTTACATTCTGCAGGTAACGTACTCAGTCGTAATCCGAAGCCATTTAGTCGACATCCTTTCCTGAGTCACTAAACGATACGCTACGCAATTACCTTGATGCAAGTACTCATCAAAACATGACAATTTTATTGTAAATATTCATGTTTAATTTGTAGAGAGGAAGTTAAGGTTTAATTACCTACAACCGTATTTGGCGAAGCGCCGATTCTTTCTCTCACTTTTCATTCATATTCAGAAAAGCCGAGCCAAGTGTTACATTAGTGGCGTTGCCCGCATTCAATCACTGCGTTCCTATTAGAACGGCTCATTAATTTTTACCAGACTATTCCGTTTCTCTGTTTCTGTTTATATCTTAATTGCACAGATGCAACGGAATTGACTTAATATCGTGTACAATGCAAGTAAAGGTTTAAGCCACTCATACGCATCTGTGTGACTAATAACGTAATAGGAACATCAATTTACAAATATGGCAAAATTATCGCAAACCAATCGTGATAGATATTTATAAACTAATAATCAATTCATTTGCAAAGTGATTCTTGATAATTCCTCATCATCAGCCAGAAAATAGAATCGCCGTGCCAAGTTCAATATCAAACCAAGTTCACATTTGCCCAAATACCCTTGTGCGTGATATGAATCCATCTCTTCTTCCAGTTTTGGGTGATATAACAGTATTGACTGGACTCTCTAGTCTTTGTTGGTAACCAATCTAAAAGAAGGAAAATATTAAATTCCCAAGAAGTTGGGCTTAGTAGTAGCAGCTTCACCCGATAAAATCCCACTCGTTACGTAAGCTAAAGTAGCAAGAACTAGGCGTGGGGAGATTATCCCTAGATCCCACATGTAAGTATAATTGTACTTCAGTGTAGAAGGAGGAAGCAGAAGAAGAGGAAGAGGAGTATTAGTGATCAAGCGATGGAAAGATTGATGGATTCATTTATTTTCTACGGTTTATCAACCTTTTGGAAGTTATTTAAAGCCAGAAAATAATTTTAGATTATAAGATTTTTTTTTCGATAGTAATAGTGATCCAGGTTTTACTAATTAACTCATAGATGGTAGGAGAATAGATGAATTCATACCTTTCCTAAGGGCATTTGCGCGTAAGTGAATATAACGAACCCAACAGGAATTTGAATTCAGCTCTTCGATTAACAGTTCCGAGCCATTACCAAGTTTTCAGCATCTAATATTCTCAAGCGGTCACCAATCTAGGTACTGACCAGGCTCAATGTTGCTTAACTTCGGTGGCAGTATGGGAACCGGTATTTCAACGCGATATGACTGTGAGTCGCGAGGGTAAGAATACGGTTAACATGCTGACTGGACTCTCCAGCCTTGGTTGGAGACCAGTCTGAGAGACGGGAAATACTGAATTCATAAGCGGTTGCGCTTGAGGCTAGCAGCTACACACCGTAAAATTCCTCTTGCTACGCAGTGCCGGCTCAAAGTACTGGCACCTCAGGAGGTCGCCCGGGAAGCCATCATCATACCGCCATGTCATGTGTTTGGCATCTTCCAAAACTAAAGCTTACAGAAACATACCTGCGGTCGTCCATGACTCAAGACAGGTTGAATTCTTTGACCATTTTTGTCACTAGAAAAGGATCTTGTAAAGACGATAGTTGTAGAAAGTGTCTTGAAAAGATTTGCAGATCTAATGTCTAGAAAAATATTTTTTTTAGGATAATGATTATTTTTTTTTTAGATTGTCTTAAATTGTATATAAGCTCGTTATTCTATATTTTCAGTTTTTCTCCTTGTAAAAATTTTAAACAATTAAACATGTAAGGGCGCCGTAGTTCAGCATACCCGATGTGCCAGCTACCCTAGAGCTGTCAATATTGTTACGTAGGCTACAGTAGCAAAAACTAGCGTGGAGGATATTGTCCCTAGATCTCACGGGAAATTCTAATCGTATTGAAGAGTAGGAGTAGGAGTAGGAGGCAAGAGAGGAAGAGAAAGAAGATTAGTGATCATGCCAGGGAAAGAATACGGTTAACACGATATTTGCTGTATGAAAAAAAGTCTTTCTTCAGATCTGTTGCCAAATCTAGCGGTGGGTATTAATAGAACAATAGAAAAGATAATGATGAGACTAATAAAGAAAAGTGGATAGATTTTCTAAGATAAAATTATTTAGCTCCAATTTACATACAAAGTATTAATTACATAATCACTGCATAAGTTCCACTACCATGCATACCGACTGAAGGACCAAAAACAGAATAAGGAAATACTTACCCTCACATCACGTTGAAAATAGCGGTTCGGTTACGATCATCGAAGCCTAGCCTCGTCAGATTGGTGACCGCTTGGGAATATCAGGTGCGCTGTGGAGTAATGAATAATTCGGAGAGCCGAATTCCAATTCCAGGTGAGTTCGTTATATACACTTACTCGCAAATCCTTTTGGGAAATGTATGAATCCACCTTTTCTCCCACCAGCAATGGGTTAATTACTAAGATTTCTATCATTAAAACCCTTATTTTCTTGCACTTCTCGCTTGTAAAACACTCTTCCGGTTCCATGCTTTTCAACCAACTTTAATCTTTAAAAAATTAAACGCAATGTCATTCACTTTCTACTGTCCCCCTTATTACACTTATTTTGTTTTTACCCCTTAATAAAGTTTCTGTTTTTTAATTCTTTCACACCTAGTAACTCCTTATGTCGTAGTGGTTTTAGTGCCTTGCTTGGGGTGAAATTGTTCAAAAAATATTCTGGCGTAAAGTTAATCAATTCATGAATGATTTCAAAATAACCTTAAGGAATTTAAATTAACTGAATTCTTTTATCCGTAATGCTTAGGACACGTGTGTTGATTATTTTTTTTTTTTTTTTTTTCAAGACAGAATGTATGGTTGTGAGCAAGAGAAGAAGGCCAAGATGCTGGCAAAGATATCAAAATCAAACATGTACAAATTATTAACATTTTTAGGATGTTCTTTAAAGAAGACGGAAAATATGACACCGGGATCCAAAAGCGCATTTCGTATAATGAAAAATTCCTTCCAAAAATTAAAAGTAGCAGGAAATATTCTTTGGAAACAAAGAAAATAACACTGAACTGGTATTTAATATAAATCCTGCAATAGTGACAATCTCCTCAGAGATGAAATGAAAACAGAAGGCGGTAGAAATATTGTTCTACAGAAGGATACTGGGAATACCACGGAAAGAATATGTGATTAACGGGGAAGTTTTTAAGGAAATCGAAACAAAATCTTTATACTTAAAACATAAAAGTTACAATTGAAATTTCTGGAACATAAAATGAGGAAATTAGGTTTGATGAATTTTAGAATCACATGACATATCGAATGGCAAAGGTGCAATGCAAGGCAGCAGGTCACCTACGTGACGATATTACGTGAATGGATAGCAGAAAAGGAATTGCGAAATATAGTAAAAAAAATAAAGCATTGCTAAGAACGAGAAACGATAGAAGAATGTGGAAATCCATGATCACCCATGTCATAAAGGAACGCGATATAATAAAATAGAAGAATATATCTATGTGTCTACGCGTAAATCTTTAAAGAAATAGAAAGATAGAACTGTGTATTTTTCTTGGCGAAACATAAGAAGGAACAAAACAATGAATTCAAAGAAAGAGAATATATTTGAGTTAGAAGACATGAGTAAGTATAAAACTGAGAATGTAAGGGAAAGAAAGAAAGCAGACCATGACGAATGGATCATGGGAAGTAAAAAAATCGGAATGAAAGAAGTAATGAAACAGGAAGTAAGGAATAATAACGGAAGGCCGTGTGATTGGTTTAAAACCGGCTGTGATTATAGCTGATAAAGTTCGAAGAAAAATATTTCATTTCACCAGCTGTCTTTATACGCTGGCACTGGAGAAAAAAGCAGGTTAATCAAACATAGACTAAAAATTTTATCGCTTGGTTTACCTAGCAACGTTCCAGGAGAAAATGTTAAATACCGATTAGTTTTCCTGTTTGTTGATAAAATAAAATTTGCTAACATGGGAAGAACAACAATTGATCTATCAAATGAAAGTCGCGTTTAGACATCTGGGAAATGTTTTAACAGAGGACGGGAAAATGCGACACCTAAATCCAAAGGCTCATGGGTACAGCAAAAGATATCGCCCAAAAATCAATCAAAATATTTAAAAAAAAAAAAACAGGAAAACTTCGTTAGAAATAAGGAGTACTGGACTGTTATGTAATTTCCAACAGCCGTAAAGTACGGGGACCTATTCCCATCCCCGTAATGTGGTAGAGACTTTTAAAATTTACGGCAGTGAATGCTGGACAATATTCTCACAGAAGAAGAAGGGTCGTTCTTTTTCTTTTTATGTACCGTGTCCTTTCAGTACGTAACCGATCATGGCTCTTTACCTCCCTATATCCATTGTAGCTCTCAAGTTCCTTCCTTCTGCTTCCTCCCCCAGACCAAGTTCTGTCATCCACTTACTTAATCCCTCGCTTTTTTTCCCTTGTCCTTCTTTCCCTCTATTCGACTCATGCGTATCAGATTTTCCAGGCCCTCTTTCCTCATTATGTGTCCCAGAAACTTCAGCTGCCTCTTCCTGATGCTAAATATAAGCCTCCTCTTTGTTTGTATCCTCTCTAAGACTTCATCGTTGCTCACACGCTCGGTCCATGTTATCCTCAGCATCCTTCTGTAGAACCACATCTCTGTCGCCTCGAGTCTTTTCTTCATCTTTGAGGAAATCCTCCAACATTCGCTGCTGTAAAGAAGGACAGATGTCACGTAACAGCTCGGTATTCTTTTCTTTGTTAGCAAACAAATACTCCTGTCTCGCAATACACTTCTCAGTTTTTGGAATGCGTCCTTGGCCGTCCGAATAAGGCAACAAAAATGTAGCCCTACAGAACGATATTGATAATATCATGGAATACTTGCGCATAGAATCAGATAGAAACAGGTGAAATTTCTAAGGCACATAATTAGGAAAGATGACTTGGAAAATTTAACACACATAGGACATGTTGACAGCAAAAAGGACATAGAATAACCAACTTAATCAGCTTGTGTAAATTAGAACAGAGATTGGAAGAGATAACAAAAAAGACAAATACTGCTTAGAGCAGGACAGGATGTTGTAGAGAGCTATGATTTCCGCCATCTTGAAGAGACACAGCAGATAAAAGAAGAATAAGAATGAAACTCGTATTGCATTGACAATCTTTTATCTCTTTTCATTTTGATATCGGTGTCCAGAGATCTATCCTTTATTATCATCAACGGCTTCGCCGAAATCATCAGTTCCCAAATCCGTATTTAAACTTGAATTAATTTTAATCGATTTTATTCACTGTCCACAACTCAAGCATATTAAGGTGATTTCTTTCTTGTTTTATTAACGCAATTTGGTCAGTCCTTCTTAGACAACAACATTTATCTCAGGACGACACAATGGATTTACTGCTCGTCTTCAAGGACCAATTCTTAAATCTTTTTTTTTATTGATATTAACGTCCACGAATTATTACTACGAACTTTATTCCTTTACTTGCTTCGTCCTTCATCGACATTACCCAGCCATTAAAGTCTACGAGATATTTTCAACTGCAACTCGTCAAAGACAACATCAAATCTCGAAATTTCATCAACGTTACTTCGACACTAAAGTTACTGAGTTTCTTTCAAACAAACACAATCTACCTATACTACATCAAATACATGAACACTTCCGAAAGACCTTTTTACATGTACTTGTTTACGCTACATTTATTACAAGGACTTTACATTAATCATTTTCATAAACATTCTTTATACATTGGAAGCACTAATAAGCAGAAGTTATCTTCTTTTCAGCACATTCTTGAAATCATTTATCCTTTTCTCATAAATATCTTTTGGATGTAGTTTTTGTTTGTTGCCAAATGTGACGTCCCCCAGCCTTGCTCGTTCCTCGCTGCTTCGTTCGGGTGTCACCGCTCCAAACGTGACGTCCGCCTATCTGCGTCAGTCGTGCTATCCTGTCTTGTGACGACCAACTGGCTTGGTATTGGTCGCGGCACCCAAATGTGACGTTCTAACCTTTTGGTGATTCGGATGGGAATCTGGTTAGATTCGATATCAGCCTCGTCGTTCCCAACTCGCTTCCAACGTCTGGTTACCGAAGTAACTGCTTTGATCTCCAGTCTGCCTACAGAGTTTAGCTAGCCGATCTGGAACTTGTCAATTAGATTTCCGCCAGCACCAAGTGGCTGTTCCCGATAATCACGACACAGTTAATTTTTATCTATTTAGAATTCTTGACAATGGCAATGAAACCCTTCACCAT